GCTGTTGAGGTATGTAGACGCTTGAATGCCTCATTTCCTCAGCAGTGCAGCCCTACCACCATGAGCTTTGTCAGAACATAGGAGCACGGGTCAGCCAAATGGCAGGACTCCAAACTGATAGTAGGAGGGAATCAACCATAAATATGAGGACTTGCCTGTGGCTTTGGTGTATTACCACAGGCAAATACTTGTCCTTTAAGTCAAGGGCAGCATACCAGGTGGCAGGCTCTAGGGGCTAATCGTAGCCAGTGCCACTTTATTTTCTTTATGTACGTGACTGCCTTTTGCTTTTAGCGAGAATAAAACCCCTTTCTTCTGTCAAGGAGGAAATTTCTCTATGACTCCCCTATAGAAGGTGATATTGTACCTTCTGAAGGAGCAAGAACTTGTGAGTATAGTCCCTAAAAATGAGGGGAAAGGAAGGGGAGTTAGAAATAAACTTAAGCATGTATCCCAATTCCACCATGCTTGGCAGTAGTGCTGTGGGTCCAAGCACTTGGGAAGTAGGAAAAAATGGCCAAGAGATGGTGACAAACTGGTACTATGGCCTCGAGGAGAGCATCAAACTGACTGCTTGGTGTTCCCAGGGCATCTGTATAAGCTCACAGTGGCTGAAGAGTGAATCAGATGTGATGCCTTCCTGTAGTTTTTCCCTTTCCTTCTTGCGTAGTCATGGTGTTGAGGTGTAAAAGGTGGCTAATGGGGGTACTACTGTGTTCAGACCTGCTGCTTCTTTGGGAGAGGACTGTAAATACCCAAAGACTTGAGTGTAGCCCTAGACTTCCTAAGACTGTGAATCTTATCAGACTTCCGCAAAAAGTCGATCCTTCAAAAGGAAGCTCCTGAATGGTCTGTTGGACCTCTTGAGGAAGACCTAGTAACTGGAGCCATAATCACCTCTGCAGTGCAATGGCTGATGCTGTGGCTCATGCAGCAGAATCTGCCATGTCCAGTACAACCTGAGGTAAGGTCCTGGCTACCAACTTTCCCTCATAGACTACAGGCTGGCCTCTTGCAGCTTGTCTGCAAATTTTAAAACATGGTCACAGAGGACGAACTAACGTCTCCCCAAGGCCTGCTGATGAGAAATCCAGAGTTGTAGTTCAGCTGTTGAATAAACTTTCCTGCCAACACGATTGTGCTTCGCATCTTTTGATTTAGGCGTTGATACCTGCTGACCCTGGCACCTACAAGAACCCCAAGATGGTAAAAAAAAAACAAAAAACCCTACAGGGAGATATACCTCCACTCCGTCCATTTAGTTGTAGGAGGCAGGGAAGCTGGCATTTGCCACAATACTACTTTTGGCTTGAGTCTAGCCTCAATTATGAGGAGTGGCACTGGAGACAGCCCCCACAGAGCGGAAGCTCTCAACCAATCTGTATAAACTTGACTGAACTAGTTCCACCTAGCTAATAAGCTGCCCTCTTTAAGATGTCTTCATAGGCCCTGTAGTCGTCTGGGGGAGATGAGGAAACACCAACCCCCTACTGCAGGGGTGGGCAAACTATGGCCCGTGGGCCACATCTGGCCCTCAGCTCCTGCTAGCTGGGACAGCACGTGGAGCCACCTGGTCACACTTCGGAGCCAGAGTGGGGGACATGCTGCCGGGAGCTGCTTGCGGTAAGCACTGCCCGGAGCATGCAGCCCTGAGCCCCACCCCCCATGCCCTGCTCCCCCTGCCACCCAGCCCAGAGACCCCTCTTGTACTCCAGGCCCCTCATCCCCAAAGCCCACCCCCCCCCAAAACAGCCTGCCTGATCCCCCTCCTATCCTCTGAACCCATTGGTCCCAGCCCCGAGCCACCTCCTGCACCCCAACCCCCTCATCTCCAGCCCAACCTGGAGCCCCCTCCCACACCCTGAACTCCTTATTTCTGGCCCTCACTCCCTCCCACACCCCTCAATACTCAATTCTGTGAGTATTCATGGCCCACCACACAATTTTTGTGGCCTGCAGGCCATAAAGTTTGCCCACCCTTGTCCTATCGCCTTGTCAGGCACTGAGGCGGTGGAACTAAGGATGGCTGAGCTGGCGTTTCCCCCAGTTTGCTCAATAGGGGATTCACTGAGGTAGATAACCCATGTGCAGTACTGGGCTTCCTGCAACTCTTGCCCTGCAGTTGGTGATGTCTACTAGAGGATGTAGTGGGGTGGGTGCAGAGGCAATCTGGAGACAGGGAGAACCCCCCACAGGTTCCAATACAGCTATAGATATGGCACTGGAGCCCAATTTCTTCCCCCTCTCAGCTCCCTCCTAGCAGACCAACAGGTGAAGACCATCTGAGGTACCATGTGCTGAACGCTAGCAGCTGGCAAATCTGTGCTAGAGCGTATCTGTCCATACTGGGCGAGATATTGCTTGGCCTGCTGGCAAAGCCGGCACTCAGCTCACGTGCCAGGTATTGACTGCAGCAAGAGATGTACATCAAGAGCTGCTCTTGCTGAGCCAAAGATGAGAGCATCGTAGAGGTCAGTTTCAACAGCAATGGGGGTTGACGCGCCCTCCTCCCCTCCCCCAGGCAGTATCGGCACAGGGGAGAGCCCTTGCACTCCACCCTCCTTCCCAGCTTGACTGGTGGATTTCAGGGGCAGGGACCTTGATCTCTTAGGCAATGCGACTCTGTATCCAGTGCTGCCGCTTCAGTACCAGAGCAGATCAACACAGAATGACAGAGGCAGCATGCCTCACCAAAATAGCGGGGGATGGGGCCTGCCTCGAATAGGAAGGCTCCCAAGGTGGGTGCAGAGCCACCTTCATACAAAGGAGCTTCAGTCTGACCTTCCTGATTTTAGTTCTGGGGTTAAAGTCCCTGCAGATTTGGCACCTCTCTGATGTGAGCTTCTAGGCCCTTTGAGGCAAGTCACTAACCAGCTTCGGTTTCTTGCATGCATTGGCAGGAGTGAAACAGAGGCACCCCTGACCCCAAAACTGGCAGGAACCAAAGTGTGCACAGATACAAAAGGAATCCTACTAGTAGAAAAATACACGAAGCCTCATAGAGCTATTAACAAGTGCCAACTCTATACAATAAAATACTAAGAGAAAGGGAAATGGTTGCCAACACCCATCACAGCAGCTAAGGAGTTTGGGGGAGAGGAAAGGGGCTGTGACAAAGTGGGGCTTTATTCATCTTATGTTGCATGTGAGTCTTACTGTCCTATACTAATATCATGTGTACGTCAGTTTCCCAGTGTACTGCACTAATACTTCAGTGGTGGGAATTGGGTGTGTGATTTTTGTGGGGGCCCTCAGGGCAGCTGAGGCTGCCCCATTTGCACCCATGTAACCTGAAGCCCATGGAAACAAGACAAAGAGATGGATGAGGAGCAACAGGGGTGTGGTGGAGGTCGGATGGCTGGAAGTCTGCGTGGGGGGGACTGAAAGGGGGGAGTCCAGGGCATCTGGCCCAGGACTCCCAAAAAGGACTTGGTAGAAAGTCACTGATTTCTGTGCTAACAAGTTCTGTCCTACGCTGTGTTCCCATCGACGAATAAACCTTCTGTTTTTACTGGCTGCCTGAGTCACGTCTGACTGCGGAGTTGGGGTGCAGGACCCTCTGGCTTCCCTAGGAGCTCCGCCCAGGCGGACTCCCTGAGGAAAGCGCACAGTATGAAAGGCCGAAGCTGTATAAGCTTCTTGCCCTCGAGACAGTCTGCTCAGGAGGCATGCTCCCCCCCGAGTCCTGCCTGGCTTCATACAGAGTAGTTTCAGAGCACTCCATGACAGGGAGTGGGGAGGGCTGTGCTGCCCTTGACATTATTGTACAGCAGTGGGCACATGCAACACCTGGCCAGATACCACTGAGGGAAAAATCTCCTATGCTAGCGTATCTTTTAGAAAGTTATATATACACTATCTCCAACAAAAGTTATGGGCTGGATGCAAAGATCTCCTAAAAGATATGCTCTAGGAACTATTTTGGGGAAGTTCTAGGACCTTTGTAATACAGGAGGTCAGAGTACATTATCACAATGGTCCCTTCTGGCTTTAGGGTTACTGAGTGAGGTTCTTTGGCCTGTGTTTCTGCAGGTGGTCAGACTAGACGATCGTAACGGTCCCTTCATAATTTATGAAACTATGCTGCAGCAACTGAGCAAAAACAATAGTAAATATTTACTAAGCAAAATGCATCATATGATTGCAATTCAGGGCTGAAAACTAATGCTGACATTCTTTCCATTTAAATTGTTATTTGGGTCAGCTTCTATATAAAACATGTTTCAGAGTAGCAGCTGTGTTAGTCTGTATCCACAAAAAGAAAAGGAGGACTTGGGGCACCTTAGAGACGAACGAATTTATTTGAGCATAAGCTTTCCTGAGCTACAGCTCACTTCATCGGATGCAACTGATGCATCCGATGAAGTGAGCTGAAGCTCAGGAAAACTTATGCTCAAATAAATTTGTTCGTCTCTAAGGTGCCCCAAGTCCTCCTGTTCTTTTTATATAAAACATGTTGTTTTAATTGCTGCAGTCAACTACCATTTTGTGCTCACTGCATGCCTTTCACTCCCCAAACAAAGGAAACATGCCACAGCTGTTTTAATGTAACATACTCCATAATATTGTAAATTTACTGAAACCCCACAGTGGGCACGTCCCACCTAATGAAAAACCCGAGAAGTGATCAGGGTGGGAGCGGAGCTTGACAGGAGCTCTCTCTGTGCTCTTCCAGTTTTTTTCTGAGCCACCCATGCATGCCTCACTCTGATCCTTCCCCACCATGGGAAAAGAAGCGTGCAGCAAGGTCCCCAGTACGCAAACCCTGGATTCTGCAAAATAGGTAACAATGTGAAATGTTAAAGGAAAAACATACATGCAAGTAATGTAAAACTTTGTGACCACCCATCACTACTGTAACAGAGATTTTCTGAATGGGGCCACAGAAATCACAACAGTTTTATGTGCAATGTAGTTAAGAGTGTGCTACAGAGTGTATGGGACTTATGCTTTCATACTTTGTGGATCTACAAATGTACAGAACACAGTTTATGCATTAGTTCAATGGGTACTGGCTTTATAATCCCAAAGGCAAGAAAGATAAATTATTCAACCCAAAGCATTGCCTGTAGTTTTAAGCTGTCACACTCAAATGTATTCTAGACTACTGTGTACAAACAGGTACAATGATTCAAGGATTTTTCTCACAGAAATTTTTTTGAGAGAGCTAAATAAGCGCTTACCACTGCAGAGATTAGTAAAATGACTCAAAGCTACAGCTTTAATAAAGGGTTAGCTATATTCAAACTGAAGCATTGACAAAACGGAATCAGTACAAAAATATACATACAGTTCTTTATTAAACAACTGTAAACACTTCACTGTAAAAATCCATAAAACTTTATAAACAAACATTTTGCAAATAGATTCTATACTACAATAAAAGAATTTTAACACAGTTATTTACATGCAATACTGACAAATTTGGCACTTTTTGAAAAGAAATGTACAAAACACTTTTTTGTTTAAAAAGAAATTGAAAATTATAAAAACTCAGAGCCTTACTATCATGCACTTTGCAAATACCTCACAAGCACTTATGGCACAGCTAGCAGAGAGCTCCAGGCTCCCACCAAGCTCTTTATTACAAGTTAAGTTCAGATAACTTTTAATGTGCTTCCATAAGTTTGTTGTAAAACCACCTGAACATTGTCAAGAATGAAGTCAAATGCCATATTCCAAACGGATTCCACAGACTGCTGCATTAACCTGGGGAGGGGGGGGGGGGAGGGGGCGAAAAAAAGGAAGCCATGCTTAGAACAATAGAACAGTCATCCTTCCCAGGTCGATGTGTATTACAGTACAGGATGCTTTGGGAAGAATTTGTTTCCAATATCCAAAGTGAAAATAATCCCACTAGAAATGAATCACAGCAGCGCAATATAAACAGTGTTTGGATTAGTTTTTAGTAAAACAACACACTAAAAATTATGTTAAAAGATTATTAAGAATTAATAATTATGCCAGAATTATGCCTCTACAACCTTAATTTGGCCCCTTTATGCATATGCATTACAATATATTCTTTAATTATATTATTGCTGAATTAAAGTTGCACAAACAACCTTAATTCTAGCATTTCCTAACTTTGGAGTTTACTACCTTAATAATGTTCTCCTACTGTAGTTTTTGTGTGTGTAATTTGCTGTGTTTTAAAAAAAGCAAAACCAACCAAGCCAACCCCCTCCCCCCCACCAAATTCCATGATGTGGCATCATACTGACATACCCCTGGGGCTCACCAACAGCAGTGAAACTTTTAGATTCATATCGACCTCTGCCACTGAGCTAACTGGATACCTGATGAGAGTGGCAGGTTGCTATCCTTTATGAGGGCCAGCAAGGAGAATGAGAGACCCTGCTAATGGGTTTCACAAATATTTGCTGAGACAGAGGAACGGTGACACTGATTCAGGGATCTTGTGTTCCATTCCAAACTCTAGGGGGGAGTGTACACTCTAATGGACATAGACTCTTCTGCCCATTTACCCCACACTTGACACCTTATGCACCATTCCTTCCAACCTGCCTCTATCCCGTCACTGACTCCTCGTCCCATTCCATTCTCCTCACCTAGTTAGTCCCAATCTCCACTCCCCAAGTTTCTGACCCAGTCTCCTTGCCCAGTAAGTCCCAGTCCCTCCCACCTCCCCGCTCAGCCAATTCCAGTTCCCTCCCCCACCTCCTGATCTCTCCCGCACTGAGCCTCCAGACTCCTGCCCCCCTCACCATTATGCATCCTAGTCTCCATCCCCAGCCTTCTCATTCAATCTCACTATCCTCATCTCCCTCTGCTCCTTGGCCCAGTGTTATTTGCTCAGTCAGTCTCAGTTCTCTCACTGTGCCCCAGCTCGTCAGATTTGTCTTCCTCCCGTCCACCTCCTTCAACCTGCCCCACCGGTTTCCAGCTCCAGCTTCCTCATTCAAGCTTCTTTGCTGCCATCCAGTCTTCTCACCCATTCCCCTCCTCAGCCCGAACTTCCTTGCCCAGCCAGTCGCAGCGCCCCATGCTCGCTTCCAGTCCCAGTCTCCACTCCCCATCTGTCTCAATTTATTCCCCAAACCCTCCCCTGCAATGCCAGACGTCAGTCTCTTATCCCCTCTGCATCTGAATCAGATGGCTTCCTCCTCCCTTCTGCCAACAGGGGGTCACTGAATGCCCAGAAGAGACAGTTTCAATGCTCTCAGTTCCAGTGCCCACTCTGGCCCAAAGCAGCCATTATGGAGAAAGTCCAGTTTTGGAGAGTCCCTAGTCTGGAGAGGGCTTACTCAGTTGCTCTGTGGGGCGACTCATGCACATTTTGATCACACACAGGAGCTGTAAGAGGCCCAAGCATGCTCAGTGAGGATGGAAGCCCCAGAGAACTTAGTTAAGCTCTAGCAAGTCTCTACTGAGCACCTGTGAACTCTGCTTTTTCAAAGGTTTATAAACTTGTCCTTATTTGGGCAGATTTTCACTAGAGCTTAAAAAAAAGTTGCCAGAATATTTTCAACACCGAAGAAAAACTTATTTTCCCCTAGCCTTGTTCTTGGAAACAGATGAACTGTTTTGGCTGAAATTTTCCAAAAAAATTCAGCCAGGGGCAGAATGGAAAATTTCAGCCTGAATGGTAAGTCTGTCGAAGTTATAAGCAACTGAAAACAGAGGTGCCACTAGTCCAGTCTATAATCAGTACAATCTTAGGTAATGCTCAGGCTGTTCTGAAGTTCAGAGGACTATATTTCTCCAAATATAAAGAACTTCCCAGCAACTTTTACAAATGTCAGTATTTTTACCATTAGGATTACAACATACAGATAAACAGGTTAACTGGTGACTCTCTCACAACCTTACCCCCAATAATGAAGGAATTTAAATGATAAATTTTTGGATTCTGACACTTCCCTCACACCAAGACATTTGGGCTGCATCTGTCTTCCTACAAGAATGCAATTCAGACATTTACACAGAGCTCTGGCATGTTACATTGGGTGCTTGGCTGGAGGCTGAAACATCAGTGCAAGGGCAGAAGAGGCATGTCCAAACCTAGAGATCCATGGACTTGTACCAGCTGCCTCTCTAGTATTTAAAATCCAGGAAGAAAGGTGTAAACAAAGGTTAGGACCCAGAAAACTGTCCAAAAATCAAACAGTGAGATTCTGTGCTGCATCTGTAAGAGGCGCTGCAAACAACTCAGAGCCTGGAGGAGGGAGCAGCCCCTACGTGACTAAAACTTTCTGATTCTGGGCTGCTACAGGGGTCAGAGTGACTTTCAGTGTAAACTTGGACAGCCCTGGAAGGCTGCCTAAATTACAGGTTGTATGTGGGCAAGCTGCTACTCTATCCCACACTTTCCCCACTCCCTGTCTTGCTCTGGTATACTCCCTATGCCAGGATTTGCGAAGAAGTCCTTTAGGACATCCTGACGCTGTCTTCCTCAGCTCCTCTGCAGATTAAGAATCAGGGCTTTCAGGGCTCTTTATGTTGTTGTCTCCTTTACCTGGTGTACAGGGGCCAGAATGGGGGCGATAATGTCACCAGCTGTTTTTCCTTAAAAACTTAATGGGATTTTATGCCAGTTTAGTTAAGAATCTTACATAAAATACCCATCTGCTCTGTTAATTTCACAGTATGACTAATTATTTCATATTAGTTTACAAAGGCCCAATGACATACAATAATGCATAGGCATAACTGAATAATATTTTGCATTTCTTTGTGCCTATCTGATGATATCAACCCTGTGAAGTAGGTACTATTTCAATTTACAGGTGGAAAAGTTGAGGCACTATTAAGTGACTTGCTCAAATCACAGAGTTAATCAGTTGGAAATCCACTTCAGGTGACTCACAAGCAGTTCAATCCAGAGGTGGTTTAGAGTTCACCTGAAAAAAGATTCAAGGACATCAAATCTGAATCTGGCATTATCTCTAGAATGTTGAGATATGGCATAATGAGGTGCAAAGGCATGTACTGATGACCAAACTTGCAGCTCTGTGTAGTCACTTGAGCTAGAAAAAGCTGCAGAAGCCACCTGCAGTCTCGTTGACTGTGATACCACTCGGCTTAGTGGAGACACATTGGCAATGTCGTGGCATAAACATATGCAGCAGAAAATGCATGGCGAGATTTTGAATCGAGACTAGAAGATTCTTCATCCTGTCTGTAACGGTCATGAACAGTTTTGAGGATGACTTGAATGATTTAGTCCTGTCCAAGTAAAAATAGAAGACTCTCTCTGCACATACAACGTATGGCATCTCACTTTATACTTACGAGCATCGGGCTTGGGAAAGAAAGTTTGTAAGTATATTGCCTGATTGATGTGGAAAATGAGACACTTTAGTCAGAAATTTTGGATGTGATTGTAAGTATACTTTGTACTTATAAAAGACTGTATAAGGTGGGACAGTTACCAGGTCTCGCAATTCTCCCACTCTCCTCACAGAGATAATCACCACTAACAAGGCTACTTTCATCAAAAGATGAAGCAATGAACAGGTAACCAGCAGTTCAAAGTGGGGACTCACAAACCTTGTTAACATCAGATTTAATCTTCAAGGGGGACAGGTTCCTTTACTTAGGGATATAACCTGTCCAGATCTTTCAAGAACCTGAGTGACATCAGATTGGAGAAAACTGAGTGATGAGCAACTAGACGGTGGAAAGCAGAAACAGCTGCTAGCTGAACCCTGATGGAACTAATGGAAAGTCCTTGCTGTTTCAAGTGGAATAAATAATCCAGAACTTGTTGCATAGACGCCTGGATCAGTGAAACACCTTTGTGCTGAGACCATAAGAAGAACCATTTCCACTTCAACAGGTATGGGTACCTAGCAGAAGGTTTTCTGCTATTCATGAGGATGTTTTGTAAATCCTTTGAACAGACCTCCTCCTCAGATGTTAACCATGGAGCATTCAGGCAGTAAGATGAAGAGCATCCAGGCTAGGATGAAGGAGATGTCCATGGTCCTGTGATTATGTATGGATATGTATTTCCCATATATATCCATACATAAAGGCTTGGGGGCGGGGGTCAGAGGTAAAGAAGGAGCTGAGGAATAGGGAAAATTGCTGGGGAGGAGCCTGGGTCTGAACTTGGAGGGCTGTTGGGTGTGGGTGGGAGAAGTATGGAACAGGGTTTTTGGGGGTGAAGGTGGGGCGGGAGGGGGAACTGTTAGGGAGCCTCTCCCATGCAGACCCTGGCTGATCACTAGCCTCTCTGTCAGGCACATTTGCCCCTGTCCCCATGTATCCCTATACCCTCCTCTGTCCCCATGTGGCCCTGTACCCCCACTCAGCCACCCCTCTCCCACCATACGTCTCTGCACCCTCCTGCTCCTGTGTTCCTGCACCCCCACTGCCATTCAGCCCCCGCCTCAGTCTGTCCCCTCCACTAGCCCTTCTGAAACGTATGTGATCCCCACAGAAACCCATGTACCCCACGCTGTCCATCCCCCCATAGCCTGTGCATCCTGACCTGGCCCAACAGGCAGGGCACTGTGAGGAACGCAGTCTCTTCACTTCCCTATCAGCAGCTGGGGCTGCTCCCACCTGGAAGCAGATGCTCTCTGTTCTGGTGCCACAGCAGCCCCTGGTGGGTGAAGGGCAAAAAGCGTAACTGCAGCACTGTTCCAGCAGAATGTATTTTCTGCAGAGAAAAAAAAATTCTGTACGGGACATGAATTCTGTACATGTGCAGCGGCACAGAATTCCCCCAGGAGAAAGCA